CAAATTCATTTTTTATATTTTTTTTTCATAAATCAAGTATTACGCGAATCTTCAATTTTATTAAAACTCAAACACATATACTTGTACATGTTGTTTTTCAGATACTGTATATATACCAAAACATTGTTTCATCCCCAAAAAAATATTCTATAATCTATATCAGATCTTAAAATAACAAAAAAAAATCGACACAATGTTCTCCATGTTAAAACCCAACAAATCATAATCAAGACCAACAAATCATAATTAAAACCAACCTGATGAATTCCACCTTCCACCATGTTTAATTAATATCGACACAATGTTCTCCATCATAGCAAATCAATTTTTTTCCAACGTCAAAATTTCTTCAATTACTAAAAAAAAACAAACTGATATCTGCTGCAAATCTGAAAGAATAGTGAAAATTGTAAAAAAAAAAAAACTTGTATGTTGATGTCAACTTGTTAGAGCTTTTTAAGGAATTTAACCAAAATTTATCCTTATTTAAACTAATTTGAGAGATTTAAGGCAACTAACTAATCTGAATATTTTTTAAATTTCCTTAAAACGTGTTAATCAATTAACACCAATTAATAATTATATTTAATTTAAGTAATAAAGGATGCCATTTTCCATTTATATTTTTGTCCATTTTTTATTCATTTTTTTTAAAAATAATTTTTTTAATTATTTCAAATAAACATTATAGTTTATAATAATATGCTATAGGTTGAGATATTAAATGTTATATACTGAAATACAAACTCTAATGCTATATCTTGAGAATATTACTATAGAAAATGCTATATACCTAATTTACACATATTTTAAATCGGCGACTATTGTAGTCGGCAATTTTGCATATTTTTTTAATTAAAAATCAATTTAATTTTTGATTAAGGTAAAGTAATATAGTGAATTCCCCTGTTCGATCCTGGGCATCGAACATTTCACTTTGGTAAATATATTTTCAGTTGATAAATTCATTAATTAAAAAGAGAAAACTACTGTACCGTCTCTCTAAATGAAAAATCTTAAAGAATTAGAGCTGTTGTAAACTCTTCTTTAGAGTTGTTAATAAATCTTAAAGAATTCACGTTAGAGAAACGTGAATTGTTATTTTTAGGAGACAAATGAGGTTTGTTTGAACAAGTCTTTTTTAAAATTTACAAATTTTTTAGGATACTAAACTTATTTGTGCTTGCCTTTTTCATCTTAGTAGATATTATGTCTGGCAATTCATACATTTAAATGCCACTGCAGATTTGAGATACATTGTGATTCCAAGCAACATGTTTTTCGTGATGCAGAGGAGAGATATTTCTTAAGTACCACTTGAAGTAAATCAGCAACTCCCCTAGCAGATGGTAAACATCATTTTGGTTATTTATAATAGTGTTTTTTTTTAAATTATAGTTGTGAGGAAGCAGAGGAGGATTATGCTTCTATTGAAAAAAACAAAGAATTTAATAAGAAAGCCTCTGAATAAAGCTTAGTGAGATTAGAGTAAGATTTGTGTATTTTCTATCCTCCTCAAGCCACACTTGTAAGATTATACGGTATAAACTAAGTCCTCATGAATTAGTAGTAAATTGTAGGCCAAATACATACGCAGGTCCCTAAAGTTGTTCGCGCTTTTCTCCCAGGTACCTCAACTAACCAAGATTCCTATTAAATCCTTTAACCCCAATAATTTGATCCTTTTAAATATTTTTGGCTGATGTGGAGCCAAATTTCAATAATTTTTTTTTTGGTAATTAGGCGCGTGAGATGAACCTTCCCCACGTGAAAATTTTGACCAATACAGTCCAACCAAATTACACGTCAGTGCCACATATTATATCATCAAACCTAAAAATCAATTTTCTCCCAAATCACTTTTAACCCGTTTCTAAACGAGAAAACCCTAAGAATCTCTCATTTTCAATTACTTTTACAGCTGAAATTCTTACATTTTATAGTGATTTCGAGTGTTTTGTTGAAGGAATCATCGAAGATTGCAGACGATTTTGGAGTTCATTCGCGATTTTCGAGTTGACGAGTGTGAGGTAAGTGACGAACATGTTGTTGTGGTTGTGTGTTTTTAATATATGTGTTTATCCTGTGTTTATTATTGATATATACTGGGTTTTAATATCAATGTGGTTGTTGTTGTTAATATCTAGATAAAGTTAGGGTTTTTTGGTTTTTATTGTTCATAACTGTCAGAAAAATTTGGAGCCTTGTTTCAGGGAGTCTTATGGACGCCATTATTATAACTCGTTTTCATCATGGTGGTAAGTTTATTCAGGACAAAACTGGAATTACTTATAAAGGGGAAGCCGAGGTGGAATATGTTAATATCGACAAGGATCACTTCTCAATAATCGAGTTACTTTTTTACACTAAACAATTGGGGTATATTACTGTTGGTGGGTTCTGTGTTAAAGACCCCACAAAAAATGACTTTATTGAGGTGGACACTGATTTAACATTAGTAAATCTCATCAAAGACCTAAAAGATGGTGACTTTTTAGACATTTATGTAAAGCATGTGGTAGATAATTTAGAAGTGATCACAACAGGTTTGCTTTGTGGGTCTGTCGTTGAAGAAGACTTAGAAGATATAAATGTGACTGCAAGTGAAGGGTTAAATCATGAGGCTGAATCTGAAAATGTTAATGTGGAAGTTGAGCCAGGAGATATATCAGATCTAGATGTGGAATGGACTGAATCAAATGAAGAAAGTAGTGATGACTCTCAAGAGGATGCTATTCCTGATGTGGATGACTCTGAGGTTGATGAAGAATTAAGATCTCTTAGAAATGAAAGGAGAAACAAAGTGAAAAAGAAAAAACCTACTCAAACTGAGGAAATAAAGCTTGGAACAGCTGGTGTTGATAAAGGCTTTGAAGACATAGAAAGGAATAAGGCTGCTAGATACACTGGAAGACTAGGGGGTGATGAGCAATATATAGATAGCTCAGAATTGGACAGTGAAGACAGTAGGGATGAATTGGATTCAGAATTTGTGAAGGGTGTTGATTTACCAAGAAGAAGAAAAAGTAAAAAGGTAAGATTTGATCCTGATTGTGTTGTAGCAATTTTTGAGCTTGGTA